GTGTGTGTGTGTGTGTGTGTGGGAGGGCACTTTTGCCTTGGGATGGGATGATTAAGTTGTTTCTATGCATTTACCATAGCAGAAAAGCTTTGAAGTGTCCTAAGTTAAGGCGGAGTATACTCATTCATTCTGTACTGTTTTATGTATGTGGTTTTAAATGGCAGTCCTTTGCTCCTTTTGGCACTCCTGCTGTTTTGCTTCCATCCATTTTGATGGAAATTCACGCGATGTGCTGCTTATAGGCCGATCAATACTGGTTCAGCTCGACAGTCTTTGAGCCCAGCAGCGATTTGTTCATGCCTGGCACTCCCATTGTCCATAACTGCTTAGTGTCATACTGTCAATAGTCTCTGTGTGGTTGTCTTTCAGTCTTTTCATCTTCAGCTCTGCTGCTAAACAGGATCTAATCCTGTACAGATCGAACGGGGCAAAAGTAAAAAATGAGAAAAGGGAGGAGAAGAGATGGCGTGAGAAACCGGAGAGAGCGTGGAAAGTGAACATTGATTGAAGCTCTGTGCTGATGTGTATCGGTTGCTGATCTGACCTTTTCCAAATGTTAGAACAATGTTACCAGTGTAAAGTTGCAGAAATGATTATTTCAGAGTGCACTCCACTTTCATTTTGTCATCTGATTAGTGTGGGACAAAATGAAGCAGTCCACCGGTGGTTAAACCTGTTCTCTGCAGCAAGGCACATTGTCATTATTTAGCCTTCTTGCCGTTTCTCATGTACTCTATTACTTGCGACTGCAGACGTTTTAAGAAAAATAAGTCAAATAGATTTATAATTTCAGGTCCTGCCCTGCAACATAACATTACTTCTGACCCAACTCCTGCAGTATAAACATTTTGCAGGTGGTCTCGAGGAATTTCTCCACAGAGCAGCTGGTGATCAAACAGTGCAAGTAGGGAGTGAAGATATATTCTTTCAGGAACTGTTTTGTGTATAAAGTTTTCACTGTGTCTTACAGGTAACAAGAATAGTGCTGCTGTGGGTCAACAACCACTTCAATGACTTTGAGGGTGACCCAGCTATGACGCGCTTCCTGGAGGACTTTGAGAAACATCTGGAAGCCACAGTATGATCAAACATCTATCTAAGCTTAGTTTTTACTTCACTGCATTTAAGCTGTAATTTGGTTTATCTTTTACTTGGTCCTGTTCTACTCCACTTTGTTCACTCAGTGCATTATTCACTAACTTCTTTTTTTTTTGCAAATGTTCATTGTAATCCTAGAAAAACCTCACACCTCTGCTCCAATGAAAGTTTTATTACTGTACTAAAACTACTTGGTATGAAAAACATACTTGCAGTCTGTCTTTTCAGAGGAGTAGCTCACATCAAATGATTATTGTGATGTCATTTATAATCTCATGTAAAAACAAAACTGGTTTCATGATTTAAAAACACACCTTTGGAGACAAAAGCTCATTTTAATGTGAGACTCCTCAGGTTGGTAATTTTCCCATTTTTTGTGCCTCCTCGTCAGAAAATGAAGGGCCACTTGCGACTGCTGAACATAGCGTGTGCAGCCAAGGCTAAGTGGAGACAGATCACTCTCCAGAAGGCGTCCAGGGAGTCCCCGCTCTACTTCAGTGTGCAGGGCGGCAGCGAGAGAGGGTTCGGCATCTTTGTGGAGTCGGTGGAGGAAGAGAGCAAGGCTGCGGAGGCCGGACTCAAACGTGGAGATCAGGTGCGGTATTATATATGATACATTGCTCTGTGTGTGTGTGTGTGTGTGTGTGTGTGTGTGTGTTTTACAGTTACACTGGCTTCTCTGCCATTAAGATTCTTCACAATCTTAATGCTTTTTAGTAGTTTTAGTTTTATGCTTTTTTACTTTTTTGCATGTAAATCATTGTTGTAAATCATGTCTACAATACATACAGTATAATGTGTTTTATATGTGATAGCTGATATAACTGATTATCCAGAATTGCATCATGATGACTGTGCTCTCGCATTTAGTGTGTTGTGTTACTTTAGAGTGTGTTTGCTTCTTCTTGTCACAGTTAGAGATGATGTATTTTTGCTCTCCTACTTGGTGTGTCACAGTGTAAGGCATGGATCATCTTGATTGAGAACTCTTTATTCTTGATGTTGACACACGGTTAAAGAGATCAGAGTAGTTCCTGGTTGTGGGGCGGCCTCTCTACTTTATCCATATTCCTACTATAACCTGTTCGATGCAGGTCAACTGTTTTCCCATCTATGCATGGGCGGATCCAGGGGTGGCCACAGGATTTTTAAACAGAATAAACATTTGGGTTCTAAATAATGTATGGTTTATTATTTCAGAGAACTAGGGATTTAATTTACTTTTCATATGTTTTTCAAACGTGCCACCCCTCTGAGTCTCTGCTCAGCCTGGCCACCCCACCAAACATTTTCTAGATCACCCTTGCATTTATGATTTAAAAACATTCTATACTGCCTTATAATTTTCTGACTGATTGCTTCCTTTTTTATATTTTAACGACTGCAAACTGCAAATTCATCTGTTCTATGGTGTAGTAAAATAATAGTGTATGATACTGCCAACAGCCATAGCGCACTGCACGCTTCCCTTTTTATGTCATTTAGAGATTGCTGGATCCACATAATTCACTCTGTGCATTACATAAACTGCTTACAGATTTGCTGAGTGTAGGGACTTCATGTCACGACGGCAAACCAGAATTACATGTGATTCAGACTTCAGTCAAGGATCATCTGTTTGGTTAATGTGTGGTTTTTAAGGAAATGTCATTGCTCCCCTAAACTCAAGTGCTTTTTGCTCCAGACAAATCCCCGCGCATGTCCACGTCTGTCACGGCCCCTCGCTAGAATTTTGTCTTTCTTGTTTCAGATCATGGAGATCAATGGTCAGAACTTTGAGAACATCTCCTTCTCCAAAGCTGTTGACATCCTGAGAAATAACACACACCTCTCTCTCACAGTCAAAACCAACATATTTGGTGAGTGAAGTCAAAGTACTAATGCACAACTTGGTTGAGTTCATAATCATTTTGAGATGATAACCTCTCCTCCTGCTCCTTCTCCTCTTCCTCTCTCTCTGTGCCTCTGTCCCTGTAGTCTTCAAAGAGCTCCTGAGCAGGATCATGCATGAGAAGAAGAACGGCGGCCCTCACATTCCTAAGATCCAGGAGAAAAAAGGCAATCGCCTCTCCATCCCTGACCTCCCTGGAGACATGGAGTTCCCCACAGACCACAAGAGTAGCAGAAAAATGAAAGCCAACACTGTGTCTGGAGGACG